TAGTGATCAAACTAAGGATATTGTATTGTTTATAGGGGAAATATACAAATAAAGTTCTTATTTATTCAGTAAAACATGTATGAATGGCTAAAATTTATTGTTTACAACCACTTGATTTTTTTTAAAAATGCTGGATAAGAAGCATCTGAATAGAAATTGACTTAGGAAGTGGCACTGTAAACATTTTATTGGTTCAAGGGCATGTAAATAAATCCGTAAGATTGATCACGTTTGGTTTCCCTCCCAGATTTGCGTTGATTCTCTAAGCAGCACTCAACAAATATCTCATTTGCAAACCCGGAGTCCCTCTCTGGGCTAGCCCCACCCCTTCTTCAAGGAGACCTCTCACAGGTTTTGATTCCTGGAGGGCCTCTCAGTCCTGCCTCTGTCAACACAGCAATGTGGTGTCTGAAACCTGAATCCATCCTTGCTTCTCCAAACTGAATCATTGTAACCTGGGGCACAGGGCCAAGTGACCACTGAAAACTAGTCATCACTTCAGTTTGAAAACTAGTCATCACTTCAGTTTGTTTGGGATCACGGTGCAAGGCTCCAAAGGATCTGGAAAGTACAATGTGGTGAAGTTTTAAAGACACGTGGGTTCCAGAAACAGCTTTCGACCCTTTCCCCAGGCCCTCCCAGTAAGAGATATTCCTGCTCTTTTGCCTTAGGGAGATCTTGGGTGGAAAACCTTGGGAAGTGCAGCCCCATCTCAGCGATGGAGGGTGGAGGGAGGGAGGTTGCCCTGGAGTCCACAGGTCAGCAGTCAGTGCACCAGTGTGGGTCTGACCTTGTCTCCAGGGAGTCCTCTGAGTTGCCCACTGTCTTTTAGTTCCAACCGGTGGAGTCCCTGGACCTCGACTCCCTGCTGGTGTATGGGTTCCCCCTGGGCCAGCCTTCTCATCATCACAGATACAGACAGTGCTTGCATAATCACTGCAATTGAGTCTGTGCGGACTCATTGCAACCCAGCATCAGATTTCCAGGCTGTAGAATTTTATGGGAGGAGATCACCTGTCATCCAAAATGGGACTCGGAGAGTTAACATGACAGCACATGCGCCCTGCACCCCTGGGTGCCTTAGCTGTTGCCTAAGTCTCACGCCTCATATTGCTCTTGCATTGACCTCTGCTCCCTGACTCTGTGGGCCCAAAGGCCTCTTCTGCTGCTTTTATGTGGAGTCACAATTCAAGACCCTTGGGCTCAGGCACCAAGCTGTCCAGTGTCAGTCTGCATACTTACCAGCCATACTTCCGTGTTTGTTTCTGGCATCTGGGGATTTTCCTTTTGTTCTTGCAAGCTCAGATGACTGCTTTGTTATTGATTCCTGGGGATGCAGGTTGCCTAGAGACTCAGGTGTGCCTCATTCCTGACCATCTACCGGGTTTCTAACCTGCCACCTCCCCCCACCCCCCCGCCCGCCCCCGGGCTCTCCAAACATAAACCTCTGCCCTCTCCTTGTTTTAGCTTTGCTCCAAGCTTTGGCGTTTTCAGTTGCTTAATATGTATCTGAAAGTTGGGCCATGAATAAGGATGATCAAGGAAGAATTGATGTCTGAATTGTGGTGTTGGCATGGAGTATTGAATATCGCAT